ATTGTTGTCAATGGTACACTGAGTTTGAACCATTTACAAAATATCAGAATAAACTATATATATATATATATATATATATGTATCAGTTAGACTGTTTTAATTCTAATGCAATAACAACAGAAGTGTGGGTCTTACTACAAAGCAAAGATTGTAAGAAGGAAAAATATAAAATTCTTATGTGGTACTGGTACTAGTAGTATTACGTACAAATCACACAAGTTTATCATTCTAAATACTGAATCATATTATTATTATTATTATGAACTAAATATAAAATTATGCTAAATTATTGAACTCAAACTACAAATTTAAATTCAAAAGAATATAAAAAATCACAAACTCTTTCAGTTCAAAGCCTTAAGTGTAATTCATGTAAAGACTTTGCACTCGATAGCTCTTAACCCTAACAATCGTTGATCAACTTCTTTCCTAAAAAATATATCTATTTTGAGTTAACCTTTCAATATAATGATTAATGTACACAGATATACGATGCAGCATATAAAAATAATAAAAGTCACGTACATCCCATGCAGTTTTTTCCAGAAGCAACTTTTCTAACGCTTATAGAAAAGCTCTATTGGCCAGTACTAAATACAACCTCTACATAAAATGGCAGTTACTATAATAAGCACTACCCACATTCATATTGTAAAATCCAGAGAACAACGTTTCATCACGTGCTTTCCTCATCATCCTATGATTTGTCAAATGTGAGATACAGTGATTGGAATAACATGGTACTGAAATTGACATCTTCGACTAAGATTGGCTAAAAGTTTTACAACCGAGGTTTAACACGCCCAGCTGCAGTTTTATAAAGAAAACAGACTAGAAAAAGGTTTAGATACCAATCATAGATGGCAGGACCAGTGCTGAAGTGGAAAGAAATATCTTAAAAAAATTTTGAAAAACATTTTCTTCTTAGAGGGCGCTTATTTATAGTCTAAAACATATTTTAGGAATTTTTTCATTAACTTCCTCTTTAAACTACATTAAATAGTACAATTTTGTACAAATAATTGAATGTCATGCTACTATTTACAAAAATAAAATCTGAAATCCAATAAAAGATAAGTTCTCTATCATTTTTCAATTCACAAATGTGATTTTGCTATCACAATAGGACAAAATGGCCACGGCAAGTAATGGGTTGTAAGTTAAAAACAAAACAAAAGAATACACATGCATGTAATTAATAAATACTAATGTTAGAACCTAAGTGCGTAATTAAAATGAAGATTACATTGTTGAAGTGTTGATATGGCTTGGTTAGTTAGCTATTTCTATTGAATTTCATATCATAAATACTCTTGATATGTTTAGCTGGATCTGAGTTATATATATATTTCACTCAAAAATACTAAACATTTTTCACAAGATTTTGGATGAATTCAGAAATAATCATACCATGCAAAGCTTTTGTCTCTCAAGTTGGGCTTCTTTCTCTTGGAGTCGATTTTCCCACTCTTCCAGTTGTTTCTGTTTTTGTGATAAGTCCCTCTCTGCTCTTTTCATCAACTGAAGTGTAGCTTCAATTTCTTGCCTTTCAAGTGTAAGAGCAAGAAACAAGTAAACATGGAACATTCACAATAAATTAATGTACATAAAAAACAAATAGGGGTATATACACACACACATATAAACAACATACTCATAATATCTACTTTTCTCTCTCAAAAAGGTTATTTGGCCACACATTACCAAATCAAATGCCAAAATGAACAGTCACTAATTGTCTTATGCCATATGATTGGAGCCAAGTTAAATCTTAGAAGATGCAAAGACTGGATTATCACAAATAGAAAAAAAATAATAATAAAGACTTAAAAATATAATTTAAATAGAAAATTTCTTTTTTTCCCTGAAAAGCTTAAACTGAATTATCCATGTTACAATAACTTTTGCTTTGCTAATTTGTGAAGGGGTTGATATAGTGGCTAATAATAAATCATTCAAAGATATACATGTAGTTTTGTGTGACACTTTTACTTCAATTTCTAGTTTATAAATGATCCACAAATAAGAACATGTCTCTTGTTAAAGGTAAAAATGTTTACATTTACATGTATATTAGTTTCTTGAAACATGGATAAAAAAAACAAACAAAAACAAACTAAAGAATACTGACAATTCTAATATATGTAGCAAATAATCAAGCCTTAGAACAGAATATTTAATTCAAATACCACAAATTGTGACAGGCAGACCTATAATTATCCTAACACTATTACTGTGTTGTAAAATAGTCTTGGTACTATTGCTCCTTTGTAAAAAGCATATAAACAAGCTATTGTATTTCCATGCTTTAAAATAATGTTTAAAAAAAAGCAGATAAGAATCACATGGTAAAAAGTTTTAGAAATGAACAGGTCTTCAGCTTATTGCTTCTTTCACCAATTTCTTTCCTGTATGATTAAATAATTTAAACTCTTCACCTACATGCATTCCGTGATTTTTTTTCCATCCACAGAAAAAAGACAAGTACAAAGCAACTGAATATAGTAGATCTTTATATATATATATTTCATACTGTATATATATTATGTTTCTAAACTTATAAAACTGAACATGCATACTATATGTATTAAACTCTGGTAGAACTAAATTAAACTAGGATAAATAACTTAGAAAGCATTCAAATACCAGCATACATAAGAAATTGAAAAATAGGGCCTTTATGAAATGGTTTAAGATTTTCTTTAATTCAACACTTCATTATGGTTTCATATTAAGTTTTGCTTGAGAGTACACTTTTGTCTCATTTTAGAGAAACTAGGTCAGCAAAAATGTCCAAATCTGAAGAAAATTCACATATAGAATAGATGGAAAAGCTTATATATATATATATTTATATGACACTTCCATAGATATTTTCTTTAGTGGCAAGCTGGAAGAATACTTCTAAATTAGCACTGGAGAATTGGTTAATCCTCTAGATATGGGTAGGTAAAAGTGAATATGTCACAACCTTTTTGCAGAATTGTATTAAAAATTTATTCAAATAATCTATCACTGTATTTCAATCAACTTGAATCAAAATGTAATTTATACCACATATTTTAATACTATATCAGTTTCAATTTCTCAATTTGAAAAGGATATGTTTAAATCAATTCTCAATCTTCACTTTTCTATATCACAAAACACTTGTTTGCTCTAGTTGGGTATATAAGACTGTTTAGTTTAAGAGTTGTTACTTAGTTTATCTAGTGATTTAATATTTAATGCTTATTTAGTTTTCATAACAAGCATGTTAAAAGTTAATTATTTTAAAAGCAATAGTTGTGACAAATTTCATTACATAACTTGGTATGAGTTGTACATTATGTATAAAGTTTAATTGTTGTACTATGCTTTTGTAATATTGTTGATGTCATCTTACTTGAAGCTTCCAAGTTTTCTTGTTATGTGTAATATTGTTGCTACTAGAGGGCTAGATAGTTCTAGATTTTTCTGTTGTGTGTTATAAATACGTGCGGATATAGGAAAGCAAAGTTAAGTGAGAGATAACTGAACAGATCTAAACTGAGTGATTGGCAGTTTAACCATGACAAACAATTTCTAAAGAAGTTAAAGTAAATTAGTGAAAATGAAGTTAGACTGCGTGTTTGTTAGTTTAACAGTAACAGGCAATATCTAAAGTGCATTTCACAGTAGCATTGTAACAACAGAGATAAAGAAGAATAAGTTGTCTTGTTACAGGGTGTTCTAAAGTAATTGAACTTGCCTGTGTGGAATTTGGCAAAAAGGAGACAATTATTTAAAGCTCTGGATACAACTATGATAACCAACAGTGTAATGAATTTTTGTACATATGTTTGACTTGTTTTGAATATATTATTTTAAAACAAGTGGATTGTGTGCTGTTCATTTATTGTTGACATTTATCACTAACAAGTCACAGACACTTACTGTAAAAAATCACTGGATCCAATAAAAACCCAACATTTGGTGACCCAGCCAGTATTATACAGTGGTAGAAGAAGGTGTGAATGATAGTGGAAGTAAGCAAATATAAACACAATTGTAGCGGTGGCAAAAATAGTGCAGAGATTAAAATCACGCTATATAACCATGTCAACTGATTTTGATAAGTGGATCAAAAGAGGTGAGCATAGCAAACTACAAGAGTTTGTTAAACAACAAGACCTAGAGAAAGAAGTTCATAGACAGAGCAGAGAGGAAGAAAGACCAACAGAAGATATGGAAAGAGAAAGACTGAAGAAAGAAAATGAGAGAAAGGAGAGACTGAAAATAGAAAGAATAAAGCACAAATTGACAAAGAAGAAAAGGAGAGAGACTGGAAATGAAGAGAACAAGAGTACAAATTGAGATTGCCAAACTCACCCAACAGAAAGAGGAAGGACCCAAGAATGACAACGGGGTCAGGACCAGCTGACCTAAGCTGCCCAAATTTGATAAATGGAAAGACAACATGGAGGCTTCCCTGGAGAGATATGAAAGATTCACCCAAAATCAAAACTGGGGCAAAGGTGACTGGGCAGTCTGTCTCAGCCCACTTCTCACAGGAAAAGGCCTACAAGTATATGCAAGCATGACATTAGAAGATGCCATAGACTATGACAAGTTAAAAGCGGCCTTGCTGAAACATTATGAACTAACCGAAGAAGGTTTTTGTCACTGATACTGGAGAAACTGTATTTCAGTTTGTGGCATTTCTATGGTGATACTTCGCAAGATGGACTGACATGGTCAAGTGTGAAAATAGTTTTGAGGGACTGGCAGGCCTACTAATACATTAACAGTTCATGATCAAGTGTTCAACTGACATATTACTGTTCTATCACACTTCTTAAAGGAGAGAGCACCAAAACAAAGACATGGATGAGTTGAGATGATCAAGCTTGCAGAACATTGTATGTAAGCCCATGGAGAAAGTACAACTTGCAACTTCAAGTATAACCAGTTAAACTCGAAACAGGAGTGGCTGACTGGAAACAGGATGCCACCAAAGGTGACAAAAACTCAATGAATAAGAGGGAGAAGAGATGCTAAATTTGTTATAAAATAGGGCACATTGCAAAGGAGAGCAAGTCCATCACAAAAAGCAACAGCAGAAATCTCAACATAAAGTAGGTGGAGCTACTTACAAAGATGGTGCTGGTATGAAACACGAAAAGAGTGACTGTCACCATGGATGCTGCTGTCAGAAGAAGCAAAACAGAGACAACCCATCAGATTCACCACAAGAAGGAAGTGCTATTTCTGTGATTAATCAGTGAATGACTGATGGTCAGCTCAAGTTAGCAAGTGGATCAACAATGCCAGTAGTGATTGGAGCATGTGGTAAACATTAAGAGGTGCCAACAAACCATAACATGCCAATAGGTGAAGGCTATGTCTGGGACAAGAAAGTGAAAGTCCTACAGGACACTGGGTGCAGCAGTGAGAACCAGTCTTGTATCTGATGATAGGCAAGGTATATCTGTGTGTGTTAATTGGTGGGACAGTAGCAAGTTTCCCATAGCAAGAATAAAGGTGGACACTCCATACTACATGGGAGACCTTGATGCCATGTGCATCTAGGCACCAATCTATGACTTGGTGATTGGAAATTTGGAGGAACTAAACAGAAAGAAGACTAATGAGGCATCTGCAGTCACTACAACAGCTCATGCAGTTCGTTGCATGCAGACCCATAATGCTTGCATTAGAAAAATATAGCACAAAAACTCTAGCTACACCAAGCAAATCTGTTAGCTATAAAACTAATATGTTTCCAAGTTAACTAGTCAATAATTTGCCAGCTAGTTAACTTTGGCCCCACTGACCACCTTCACCTACAGTCAGCAGTGTACCTTCACCATGAACCAAAGTTCAGTTTTATTATTAGTTAAGAAAATCTAGTACTGAAAAAAGAAATGTTCCTTTGCTTGTAATATAAAACTACAAATTTATGGTAATAATGGCAAGTAAATTATGTAATTTTCAATGTCAAGATTATACACATTATATATAAAAATTAACATTTTCCAACACTGAAAATGTATTTCTGATAAGATACTTACCTCATCTTACATAATAGCTTTCCAAATTCAATGCTGCCTTCTAGATAAGATACTTACCTAATCTCATAAATAGTTTTTCCAATTCAATGTTGCCATCTAGATGCACAATTTTCGCTCACTACTAGCCTTGAAACTCCCACCTAAGATTATGTTTCCATGTGATATTGCTGTGCTGTTGCATGCAAATGAGGATGCAACAACCCTCCATCAATAGGAGTGTGACACACCCTCCTAGTGCAGCTGGATTCCTCTATACTGATTGTTCAATCATCACTTTGAGATTAGGTAAGAAAAGATGCACCAGAAGTGTGGAGGGTGGGTGGAAAGTGTGAAAGGAGGTATCTTTTGGAAATACATTTTTAGTATTGGAAAATATTAACTTCTGATACGATACCTTACCTCTTCTCACATAATAATTAGAATGCCAAAGTGAAGTGGTGGAGGGATTGGTGCAAAAGTACCTAGATGAGTCCCTTTCAGAAAGTACCCAAAAAGAACCCCTGGGGTGTGATAT